GGAACCTGGACTTCAGGTTCTTTTGGGAAGTGCCCCCCTGGACAAGGGTCTGGTTTGTTGTTGTTCAGTCGCACAGTCGAGTCCGACTCTCTGCGACCCCATGGACCAGATCACGCCAGGCCCTCCTGTCTTTCGCCGTCCTCTGAAGTCTGCTCAACTTCATGTTCGTTGCATCGATGACACTGTCTAACCATCTCATCCTTTGCCGTCCCCGTCTTCTTTGACCTTCAATCTTTCCCAGCATCAGGGTCTTCTCCAGTGAGTGCTCCCTTCTCATTTGTTGGCCAAAGTATTTGAGCTTCAGCTTCAGTATCTGGCCTTCCAGGGAACAGTCAGGGTTGATTTAGTAACAAGAGCTAAAACGTGGATGTCATAGCAATGGGGCTGGCAGGGCAGCTCAAGAACAGGCCTGGAGTTCTGCACCAGTATCCCACCTATCCCATCATGGAGTCTTCCCATTATGGAGTCTTCTCTGATCCTTAGGATGTCCCAGAGCTACTGCTTTTCTTTCTGTTTTCCCCACTCTTCCTTCTAGCATTTAAGTAAATGTCTGACATGACGTCAGCGCATGGTGTGTGTTGCCCCATCCATGTTTTACACCACTGCATGGCTGGGGCAGTCCAAAGGGGCCACAGCTCAGTGCTACAGAGGGGCCGCACATAGGGGCAGCAGGTCAGTGGTAGAGCATCTGCTTGGCATGCAGAAAGTCCCAGGTCTAACCCTCAGCTTCTTCAGTACAGATCAGGTTGTAGGCGATGTGAAGAACCTCAGCCCTGGGACCCTGGAGAGTCACTGCCACTCTGAGCAGACTATGGACCAGTGGTCTGATTCAGTCTAAGGCGCCTTCCTGTGCTCCTGTGGCAATGCACCAACCTTGTGAGAAAGAAGGGTAGTGGAAAGACACAGGAAAGCAGCAACTCCATGCGTCTCGTTAACGACTCGTTAACGCATCAGGATGGATTCGGATGAGCCTGCTGTTCTAATAAGCACCAGGGTTTACTGCCCGCAAGTGGCAGAAAAGAAACAGAAGTGGCTCATATGAAAACATCCCAGGTCTAATTGGTGCAGTGGCCGGTGCCCGTGGAATCCCAGGGGTTGTGGGACTCTTCCCAGCACCTTGCCTCCGTTGGATTCTCATTACCCAACAACTCAAAATGTCAGCACTGAAAAATTGGGTTGTCTGACTCTATCGTGAGAGAGACCCAAACGCTGTATGCATTTGGCCTTGTAGTGAAAAATACACCATAATGGATTCCCCGGGGCAAACCAGGTGGCCCGCCCCTAGGGACGGAGAGCTCAGCTCTTCAGCTGTCTGTCTCCCTTCTGCACAGAGTCACAGCTGGACTTCTTGCTTCTATGCTCTTGCCCTGGGGACGTGGGATTTGCATCCACTTGTCCTGCCCATTTTCCGCTTCGATCCTCACCTGGGCACGGCGCTCTTCGTGTCGATGCTGCATCTCTACTGGGTCTTCCCATGGCTGCCCGTAAGCGTCCAGGCGGGGTGGCTCCCAGCCGCTCTGGAAAGTTGGGGTGTAGGGAGCTGCATAGTCCCGGGGAAAGTCCACTCTGGAAGAACCAGCAATAGATGCAGTCATGAAATCCTCAAACTCAAGTGCCACCTGCCCGTTTCTGATTAAAGTTGCCAGAACAGTTGAGCCGATCTGCATCAAAGCTTTTAAACCAACCAAGCTGTATCTGTACGCTGAGCACAGTGCAGGCCCAAGTCCAATTTACCAAAAAGATCATGGCAAATTCAAGTTCAGAGATTCCAACTACACCTTAAAGAGCTCAGCTGTTGAGCCTAGGCCACCAAACCTCTCTTTGGCATCACAGCAGCTCAGCCAATGACAGCAGGGTTGCCAGCCTCCAGGTACGGCCTGGGGATCTCCCACTTTTACAACTGATCTCCCGCTGACAGAGATCAGCTCCCCTGGAGAAAAGGGCTGCTTTGAAGGGGGGACTTTGTGGTGTGGTACCCTGCTGAGGCCCCTCCCCTCCCCCAAACTCCGCCCTCTCCTGGCTCCACCCCCAAAGTCTCCAGGTATTTTCCAACCCAGACCTGGCAACGCCAAATGACAGTCAGAGGAGTAAGGGGCACCTTTACTGCAAAACTCCGCTGTGACATCACAGCTGAATAGCCAATGGCAAGACACAGAGAACATCTAGAGGCTAAGGAGAAGATTGTAAAAATGTAGAGGATGGAAGGCGAGACGGGAGAATAAGCCAAGCCACGTGCCATGGAAGAAAGCGTAAGCGAAAGAAGTGGTGAGGGAACAGAGCTGAGCACCTCAAATCCTGCTTCCCTTTCCCTTCTACGTATTGTACCTTGCCTTGGTCCAGTTTTCGCCTAGTGAATGCCAGAGCTCGACTTCCCGCTCTCCTAAGCAGCTCCGCAGCAGGGTCACGGCCTCCAGGGTCAGCATGGGGCTGCGCAACTCAGAGGCGAATTCTGGTCCCCCGGAAGCCTCCACAACCTGAAACAGGATGCACGCATCAGAATCCCGAACGCCTGCTGAGAGATGGTTCCGCACGTGAAATTTTCGAGTTCTTCACCGCTTTCCAAGAGTTCAGTTCCCTGCCGTCTCACTCACCATTCTCAAGGGACCAAAGAGAAAATGTATCAGATCTTCTGAGGAGGGATTCATGATATTCGATTTGAGCCTCGCCTGGTTGAGGAGGAGGAGACAAAGGTCTAGCGGTTAATATGAGCCCGGCAAATGGGTTTCCCTCACTGGGAATGAAGGAAGACGCGTGTGCCCCTGACACTCACCAAAAGGCTGAAGGAATATTTCATCTTAGCCAGAGTGTCTGCAAATTCTTCTTCAGGAGGGGGCCGAGCACGGAGGGTCAGGAGCCCCTCTGTGGGTAAAGGCAAGTAAGAACAACAGGGTACAGGTTAATCTAGCACTGCATATTAGGACCAGGGCTATTTTAAGGCAGGAACGCACAGGAACGGAGTTCCGTCTGGCTCCCAAGTTGGCCACGCCCAGCAGAAACTCATTAGCATAACAGGCCACACCCAACAGCAGGAACTCATTAGGATTGGCTGCATTAGGGGTGTGTGGCCTAACATGCAAAGGAGTTTCTGCTCCAAAAAAAAAGCCCTGGGTTTTGACAACAAACAAGGTAAACAGAATAACAAGCAAAAGGTGGGTGTGGCTGGATAACCACACTTCTGGTAACATGGGGGTGCTGCCTAATGTGCTAATGAGCTGTGCTGTCAGGGGTGTGGCCCAATATGCTAATGAGTTCCTGTTGTAGGGTGTGGCCTATTATGCTAATGAGTTCCTGCTGGGCTTTTTCTACAAAAAGAGCCCTGATTAGGACCCCTCATAGTCTACCTCAGCTAGGGTTGCCAAGTATGAGTTTGGGGAGGGCGCAGTTTGGGGTGGGGAGAAACCTCAGCTGGGGGTGAATGCCATAGAGTCCACCCTCCAAAAGCAGCCAATTTTTCCACAGGATCTGATCTCTGTAGCCTGGGGATTAGTGGTAGTTCTGGGAGATCTCCAGATTCCACCTAGATGCTGGCAACCATAACCTCAACCTCTGGAATCCATCTTGGGATTCTAGAAGCTTCCTCAAAAGAGCAGCTTTTCTCACTGGCATAAAAGCCCCTTGGGTGAGGGCAGAATGATGTGATTGCGTCACGCCTGTATAGGAGGCATCTATGTGAATACACAGATCAGAACCTTGGACAATCGACAGGACAATTTCACCTAAGGAAATGATTGTTACCATCCTCAGAGACCATCTTGTCTGTATGGAGCACTTTCCCTTGTGTGAGGGCAGAATGATGTGATTGCGTCACACCTGTATAGGAGGCCTCTATGTGAATACACAGATCAGAACCTGAACGTTACCCAAAGTTCCAACTAGAGCTGAATTCAGGGGCATTTTGAGCACCCACATCGATATGGTACTCCACCTAACTTGGGTGCCAGTTGTCACACAGCTGGGGGAAGGGGGAGAGAGAGAGAGTGAGAGAGAGACAGACAGACAGACATTGCCCTGTAGCACTGCACCCATCTCTCACCGCCTGGCTCTCGGCGGCGCCCTCTTGAGGAGCGCTTGCGTTGATCCAGCACGCGAAAAGCTTCGGCAGCCTTCTGCAACTTCCCCATGAAGGCTGCCACA